GCACAAAAAAAAGTCGTCACGGTCCCAACATTTGGCTTTCTGAATCTTCAATCGCTTCATCAAAATATGGCCCGGCTCGAATTCGAATCCCTACATAGCATGTAAAGAACGTTTCTGATCCAGAAGAAACTAATCAATACTGACTACCTCATCGACCTAAAAACTTTTTTTCTTGAAAATTTGACTCCTCCTGACAAAGCCCTCCTCCCTATCGTTGAGCTATGTCGCGGAGGTGTACGGAGCGAAAGGTCTTTCCCATTTCTCATAACGGACGGAAGTATTGCGATACGGTGAATATGGTAAGAGACCCATCAAGTGTCTCAAGCCGTCTGACGGCTCATCCTGGTCTCGGTACATATGAAATTTATTCTCTACGTCAGCTATTTTCTTAAAGAAAGATTCGCAGTGCAAACAAACCCCTGTGATTGCGCCATCTCTTGAATATCGGCTATTCTTTGTCTGTCTGTGGGGTTGAAAATACCAATACAGACAGAGCACGACATGGGTCATTGTATAGTATAAACCCAGTATGCATACGGAGACTTTAAGGATGTAAAAGATCGGACTGATTTTCAATAAACTATTTTTTCTGGTTTTTGATACCTTCTTTTCTTTAATATATAAACAGACATTGTTCTAACCTTGACCGGAGGGCTTGGAGCTGCGGCTGCGGTCTGAGCTTCTCTAGGAATCGAAGGAGGTCCTTCACCAAAGTCTCCCACGGTAGCAATCACAAATTCGTATAGCTGTAAATAACAATAATCTTCCGTATTTGGGCACATTTCCAAGAAGATTCGACAGTGACCGAGGCTGAATCACCTGAAATGGCTCCAGATGGTCGATGGTCGTGCTGGTCAGCAACGGATCCACTTTCCATTTCTTCATTACATTGGAATCGGTATATCTGTGGGCAGTAAATGTTAAAAATGACCTAACTGAGGGTAAACCATTTTCGATAAAAATCTGGCTACAAATATCTCGAGAGAAGAAGGATCATGCAATCGCCATCACAACACTGCAAACATACCCTGTGGAGAAGCCTCCAGTACGGGATTGAGACCTCAAAATTCCTCGGTTAGAAATCCGCACACATTGAAAGTAACATTAGAAAGTAAAATGCATGCACACTGCAGAAGAATTAGAAGCTCATGAGATTTCATGCAATAGAAAGGAAAAACGAAGTGGAACATACTTCTGTCGGTACTTGATGACATACTCTATCGCCGGTTCGGTCAACGTTGGTGCCTCCCATGTCAATGTGACGCTAGTACTGGTAACTGAGGACACTTTGAAGTTGCGAGGAGGAGGAGGAAGAGCTGAACGGTTTGAAAATGATGAAAACCGTTCCGGTAAGGCCCTACCAGAGGGGAGGCAAAAATGAGACCTTTAACTTCGACCAACGTCGTGGCTTCAATGTTCCCAAGTTTACTAACGGCGACGCAGGTGAAATTCTCCGACTGTTCGATGTTCGTTAGTGTAAGCACGTTCCTGCCGATTGGTGCCGTAGCTGGATCACTCAGTACAACTGGAAAAGAATCTTCTAGACTGGAAAGCAACAGGGAGAACGACAGATTTCGCTGAACGCTTTTCCCAAAGTTCAGTGAGAGGAAAATCAAAAGTCAGTGAATTTCATCGACTTGACAATAATTTATATTTCCTTTGAGCCCATATGGACGGCAGTTTAACGAGAAATTTAATCGAGTGATAGCAGCTTTTTGGGTTCAGAAAAAGCCCGTCTAGACGTCAAATCCTAACAATTGTTTCTACAAATTGTTGAGGTGAAGATGTGGTAGGGAGGCTTTACGAGTCATCGTATACTTGGTTATGCAAGATCGGTTCCTGCTAAGACAAAGGCAAGACGGTACAATGTAGATGGACCTTTACTCTCTATCGTGCCCCCCCCCCNTGAGTTACAGACAAAACATCTGGACCATACGAGACGGGGTTCGAACCCGTTCTTGCACTCAGCGGTTAACGTCCAGCTGAAAGCACAAACACATGCTCCATTCCGAGCCAACGTTTTTTTGTAACTGGGAAATCTTGCGATAATTTTTTCGTATCACGAACTACGGCAAAAACTGCAGTCTTATAAAAAACATCAAGTGAAATCAAGAGTTCCCTTCAGTGCACCTAAGAGTTTTTGGGACGTGCCTTGGAGCAGTTTTACGAAGGGGAAAGAAGAAAAGGAGAACTGGTCAGATAGGGATAGTGCTCGCTAATGAAGTACTATAAATGTTTACATTTGAAAAAATTTATAGAAATAAGGGAGGATAAATTATCAGATTTATTACATACTGAACTAAGCTTATTTAGCTTTTTTAACATCGAAGTTTTTCTGCTGGAATGTATAACCATTTCATGGCACGACGTTCAAGAGAATTGCCGAACGTACGACACGGGAAAGATGGAAATTTGGTTGAGGGAAGTTCATTTCAGAGCATAGTAATCTTGGAAAAACGAAATTAATCAAAGACGGTATTCCAAAATGCAGATCGAAACCACAGGGTTAACTCTGCTGAACACTGAAGGTGGGATGTCTTGCCCTAACTTACACGACAATCATTTCAACTTACCATCATCGCTTTTCTTCCAGAATACCCGTGGCATTGGAAATCCAACAGCGACACATGTGAGGTTTACACTTCCGCCAGCTCCGACACGGTAGATCCGTTCGAGCTTGTAGGAGAAGTACGGTGGCACACGGCGAACTGAAAACAACCCATCACTTCAGTTTATAAATAAATGGTGAAATAAATAGATAGGCAGTTAGGATTCTTTCCCAACTCAGGCAATCATTGGAATCCCATTCATACCAACCAATATCATAGTTAGTGGTGTTCTTTTCGACACCGAAGAGATGCAATGGCAGTGTGTTGCCAAGGAATGCGCCTGCATTCTTGAAGAGCAGCCACAATAGGACAATCATCAACATCATCGCCACCGATTACCAGTAAATCATCTAAAAGTAGTGCACAGCTGATGGCATTTTATGGACGACGACAACGACGAGATGAACAAATGGAGCGAATCTGCCGTGGGAGAATACGGGAACCGGTTCAATGAGCTTCTAATGTGACATCTGCTAAGAATGGCCATTTGACGATATCAGAAGGAATGGGTTCGATTACGAGGTGATCGACATGGAAACATTTAGGAGGACAGTTGTTCCCTGGCAGTATTTTTCTTCAGCGTGGAAAAGACTGCGCCCAGGTAGGCTCAGCCACAGGTAGATGTGGCCAATTTGTGAATTTTCAATGAATGAAAGACGAGAATCGTGTGATTTTTAGGAAGTGAAGGCATGGGAACATCGTGAATGATCCTTTCCCTTCATTCTCGAGCTCAGAACTACTTCAACCTTCTGGTAAAAGCTTCAGTTTGGCAAGAGAATTCGAGTAGAAGAAAGTAAATTAAAGTGAAAAATAGTTAGAATGAAATTGAGGGTGAACCGGAGGTTAACCATGTCGGAATAATTCACATTTTTACAAGGGGCACTTAGAGGAATGAGGTGTTTGCCCTATTGGCAACTGGTTTATATCGCTTTTAATGTCTACACTTTATTTTTCTGCTCTTTGGTTCCGGCTGACTTACTCAAACACCAGCATCGACAGGTAATTATATGTGAATAAATAAACATACAAATAGGCAATCAAATGAACAAAAAAGTAAGTAAATAATTATCTTTCTCTTGCCAAAATGAAGTGCAAGACAGCCGAAAGACATGAATCCCTTCATTCCCTCTGCCAACTACTCTGCGAGACTGAATAAACTACAAGTCG